GAAATTATTGTGAAGTAATGTGCATGAAAAACACTTTATAAACTAAAGCCCTTTTCTTTCTGGCATTAACTAACAAGGAATATATTGCATTTACTGATTTACCTTATATATAAAATTAAAAAATTATAAAAATAGAATTATTATTAGCTTAACAGCACACTATGGAATAATCTCATTCTAACTTTGCTCTTTTTCTTAAAAAAAAAAAAGAAAATTCAGACAAGACAAGATGACCACACACAGAAGATTACTGTGAACACAGGGCAACTGAGTAGCAGTACAAGGAAAAACCACGGTTTTCAGTCAGTAGCGTCACAGATGTAAAACGGCTGATCTCAGACCATGTTGTTGGGTTTACAGTCACTCGCTGCCTCCATAAATGTCATTAATAGAGATCTTTTTCATGTAACATGATTTTAAAGGTTAACTTTAAACAATTAAGACCTTTAGCAGAAAATAAAAAACAAACTTAGGCCCAAATGGCAACTCTCCTCTGAAAACAAAAAAATACAAGTTTACAAGCCACAGTTTTAGAACTTCCTTTTCATGAAACACATATTGTGGATTTTTAGTCTCATCTGTGTAGTTTATCTCTACCTGATTTTCAAAATCTGCAGAAAAAAAGAAGACAGAATTCTCTAGGTAGCAGCCCTTGAAAATATAAATGGCAACCCTGTACTACTTCTTAGCAGTCCTGAAATCAGTTAAAAGTTATAAAATGCTTTTTCAACAAAATTTGAATAGTAGAAAAGAATTATAATGCACACTATATCTTATTTTCCTTCTTTTATGTTTCAAAGAATGTATTATGCTGAATTCTTCGAGACACACATCTCTCAAGAATAGGACTCTCATCTAGTGATTTAATGAATGCTGAGATGCACTAAAATCTATCCTTCAATTCTCATCTATTCCAAAGGAATAAAAAAAGAAACCCTGGGCTTTAAACAGCTGCTTTTATAAAAGCTCCAAGAGTCTATGACTGCCTTTTACTTTATGTTTCCTATAGAGCCATAGTGTTCATTACTGATTTAGCTGCTGATATCATCATTATTGGAGAAGGAAATGGCAACCCACTCCAGCACTCCTGCCTGGAAAATCCCATGGATGGAGGAGCCTGGTGGGCTACGGTCCATGGGGTCGCAAAGACCCAGACATGACTGAGCGACTTCACTTCACCATCATTATTATTTATGGCTTCCCTGGTGGCTCAGTGGTAAAGAATCCACCTGCCAATGCAGGAGACACATGAGATGTGGGTTTGAGCCCTGGGTCAGAAGATCCCCTGGAGAAGGAAAATGATAACCCACTCCAGTATTCTTGCCTGGGAATACCATGGAGAGAAGAGGCTGGTGGGCTACAGTCCATGGGGTCCCAAAGAGTTGGACACAATGCATGCAAATTCAATTCACTGTCATTATTACTGAATGGTAAAGGTAAGTTAAATATTTGATGGCTTGAAGGAGAAAATGTTGATAAAAAAACTTTTATGACAAAATATAAATTGCTTGCATGTTTTACTAAGAATAAGTAATCACGGACTTAAATGAATTTGAGATGTAACTTCTTATTCTTTTGAATAGGGTAAATGTTCAAATTAAAGCAATTTTTATATTTTTTTTGCTTTTACATTTCTCTGCACTATATATTTAAAAGGAAGAAAAAAATCATATTCAACTCAAGAGGCTTCTTTTGGTTCTACCAGATGTGCTTCACACATAGGTGATGAGTGGTATATACTACTATGCATTACGGAGCATGATGCTTATATCTGTGGAAAATTCTGTAAATATAACTCAGAGTGACTATAATTCAAATCAAGATCCTCAGAAAAGTTTAAGTACAGATTCTTCATAATTTTCTATAAATATTTATGGATAATCACTAATAATGTATGGTTTTCTAAAAATCACATTTTTAGAAAACATTGTTTTATGTTGAAATTAACAATAGTCTGATTTTTTTTCCCTAGGACAGTTGTATTACATCATGAGCCTAGTGGTAAATGTGAGTTGAATCATCACAAGTTCCAGAGTCAAAAAATGAATTAATGCTCAGAAGGAAAATTATGGATAGATATGATTTAAGAGGCAAGAAAGAATAAGGAATCAGACAAGACAAGATGACCACACACAGAAGATTACTGTGAACACAGGGCAACTGAGTAGCAGTACAAGGAAAAACCACGGTTTTCAGTCAGTAGCGTCACAGATGTAAAACGGCTGATCTCAGACCATGTTGTTGGGTTTACAGTCACTCGCTGCCTCCATAAATGTCATTAATAGAGATCTTTTTCATGTAACATGATTTTAAAGGTTAACTTTAAACAATTAAGACCTTTAGCAGAAAATAAAAAACAAACTTAGGCCCAAATGGCAACTCTCCTCTGAAAACAAAAAAATACAAGTTTACAAGCCACAGTTTTAGAACTTCCTTTTCATGAAACACATATTGTGGATTTTTAGTCTCATCTGTGTAGTTTATCTCTACCTGATTTTCAAAATCTGCAGAAAAAAAGATGACAGAATTCTCCAGGTAGCAGCCCTTGAAAATATAAATGGCAACCCTATACTACTTCTTAGCAGTCCTGAAATCAGTTAAAAGTTATAAAATGCTTTTTCAACAAAATTTGAATAGTAGAAAAGAATTATAATGCACACTATATCTTATTTTCCTTCTTTTATGTTTCAAAGAATGTATTATGCTGAATTCTTCGAGACACACATCTCTCAAGAATAGGACTCTCATCTAGTGATTTAATGAATGCTGAGATGCACTAAAATCTATCCTTCAATTCTCATCTATTCCAAAGGAATAAAAAAAGAAACCCTGGGCTTTAAACAGCTGCTTTTATAAAAGCTCCAAGAGTCTATGACTGCCTTTTACTTTATGTTTCCTATAGAGCCATAGTGTTCATTACTGATTTAGCTGCTGATATCATCATTATTGGAGAAGGAAATGGCAACCCACTCCAGCACTCCTGCCTGGAAAATCCCATGGACGGAGGAGCTTGGTAGGCTCCTCCATGGGGTCCATGGGGTCGTTAAGAGTCGGACACGACTGAGCGACTTCACTTTCACTTTTCACTTTCATGCATTGGAGAAGGAAATGG